GACTTTGAAGGGGTCTAATGATACAATGTCCATACCAACCGTTTCTAGTAAGTTTTTATCAAACTTTTCAACCTGTATTGCTTGAATGTTTAATCCCGAGGGCCTTTTTGGTGTTCCAAACTATAAGCAATTTGGTGTTGCTAGAACGCGTGTCCTTCGCTTGTATTCCTTGTTATCACTTTAGGCTAAATTCACCCTAGCTAGGTTTGCGCACTAAGGTGAATGTCCCACTGGATGATCTGTTAGGCGAGACCTTCCAGCATGGCCCTGTCGCTCAAGATAGCGTGCATCCTTAAGTCGCTACATTCGGATCATACTGAGTTTAACTCACCACATATTTCAAGTGGTCCGTCCAGCGGAAATTACCGTGCGATTCCTTATCCCACCTACGGATGAAGGGAGCAAGGAACCAGACTATTGCAAAATATGCTTAAATGTAGCCACTTAGCTAGCAAACGTGGGAGGAGTATTTATTGATTTCCAAAATAGTTGTTCAAACTTAGACGCAACATCTCGAGGTGGTGGCAAGCTCCGATGCTAGAACGAAGGGACAAATATTGAATGGAATTTTACTTTTCATGAAATATTCGCAACCATCCATCCTGTCTGTTGTCAACTCTGTTACTTTGGAACGTGGAAAATTTTCAGATTTTTGTTTATCCTATTCCCGAGCACTCTAATGATTCAGTGCGCTAGTCTCATATCATCATCACGAGGGCTCGTGTCAAATTACTTTTTTTGAGAGCAAATAGGAGTGTAACGCACATAGTAATGATCAACTCTATACGTAAGTACCCTCAATAGTTATTTGTAATTTAGGTATCCATTTAACAATTCGCGATTGATTGTGAACCAAATTCGGAGTGTTGCAACCGGGAAATGTTTGTTCAAACTGTAATCTTTTCTTTGTTCAGCACCGGTTTATGTCTCTTAAACGGGAGGCTAATGTAAACGGATTTTCTTCTAACTGGCAGTGACGGCATTGGCTTCTTTCCTGTTCAAGTGCTTTATAATAAACTTATCGCGGAACCCGTTGTCTCTCAGGACGTTGGTGAGATTTCGGATTTCTGGTTCCAGCATCATCTGAGCATACTTTCTTCACTATGATAGTAGGGCTATGGATCAGGTTCCATTTCTGTTTTAGTGGCACGAAGCTGCTAAAGTTAATGTATTGCCCGAACTAGGTAGGCTTTCGGCACACCAATCGTTTCAGTGCACCATCGTTACATCGTCCAAGACCAACATCTAAAAGTGGAAGATTTTGTCGGTTTCTGCTTCCGAAGTGAATCGAATGACGGTGTGGGCCTTCTTGAACTGTTAGTGGCTTTATTGGTTAGAACAGCGAAGATGTCGTCTACATAATGGCAGTAATATTGCATGTTCAAGTTTACTCATGAAAATGTCGGATAGTATTGGGCCTGGTGGTGAGCCCATGGCAGCGCCATCAATCTGACGGCAAAGCATCCCACTTAACAGTAGTTACACATTTGATGTGCATCGCAGAAGAAGTTCTCGCCATTCGTTGACTGGAATAGGCAACTGAAAATTGTTTGCTTCCATGTAGTTACATAAGTAGTTAACCGTTAGTGAACAGTAAAGCCACATCCAATGAACACATGAACGAATCTTTCAGTTCTAGGTCCTTTATTGCGTCCACGAATTGAAATGCATCGCGATACATTTACATATGCACATTCAGTTGCCTGGAGACATCACAAACGAGAGATTCATCTGGGTTCCAGGTGAAGCTCTCGAAAAAACAAATTTGTTGGCAAATGAGTGTATTTCGCTAATTTCAAACAATTTGGTTTCAAGTAGAACATAAGGTTAAGGGAAACTCGGAGACTGCGCCCACCTGATGAGCCCCAAGAAGGGAGAAACCGGTTGTGGGCTTTAGAAGAATTTTCAGTAACCTTATGGGTAGTGTATTACGAATATACACGTGTCGCGGTATTCCAAATATTGCAGTGACCGAAACATGAGGTGGCATGGTACAGCACATTCAGTTGCCAGGACACATCACAAACGAGAGATCCAAAAGGGTTCCAGGTGAGGCTGCCGCAAAACCAAACTTCTTTGCAAAAGAGTGTATCTCTAAAGCCTCGCTAAAACCTCCTCCCGGTAAAAGCCTCCCATTTAAGGGATATAAACCGGCCGACCTACTAAAAAGAAGGTTTTCACCAGTCTGAACAAAGTTTTCCCGGCCGCATTACCCACAAGCAATCGTCTGTGCTCTTTTAATCTCAAAGCTAGAGTGCCTGTCCACGCTCAAAATATGTTAGTATAATCTTTCTTTTGCTGCCGTGCAGAGGAAACATCAGACGCACGACTAGGCAACTCGGCCAAAGAGTGAAAGAGCACAATCCACCCTGGCTAGCTTCTAGAACCAGGAGGACGATAACCGGTCCGGTAGTACAACATTTAGCTGGCGCTGCACACAACATGATACCCAGTCAGAGCTTCCGCTTTGTTTACAAGCGCCGGCTAATCAACCCATATCAGTACAGCAAAGCACAATTGCAGTGGCTGGAGCTATCAACATACGACATCGCGACCGAAAATGCTTTGTTCGTGTGCTGTACTTGCCATGGTCTAACTCACCTCCCCTCACACATGCACCCTGGGCTGAATACACAACTAAAACATCACCCGCGTTGACAAGCTCAAGTCATCCTATTGGTGACCTGATCTAACCGTTCTTTGGTAGGTAGCCAATATCGTCTCTCATTCGATTTCCTGTCCATGTACGCCATGCTCATTCAAATACTTTAAATACTATTCTATTTACCTTTGAAACTGTGTGGCTTGAAAAGACCTTGCCGAAAATATGTTCTTTAACCCATCTGTGCGCTAACTGTAAATGGGAAATTTCGAAAGCTCTGAGGCCTGGAGAGCTCCGCTCCAGAGCCGAACTGATGGACGGTTGTTACGCTTACTGAGCGCATATCAGAAATGATAAGTGGATTCTTCGTAGGTTTAGATCCATAAAAGCAACTAAGTGACCGGACGGGGCTGGTTTGGTATACTTCTTTGACAACACATAGTTGAAGTTTACCTTTTATGAGGAAGTCTCTGATGGTATACTGGAGAGCGTGGCTGAGATCCTCATGCTAATGTGCAACCTGACTTAATGTTCATCCATGCAGTGAGAATAGCTTGGGCTTTTTCCCAAGAACTAGTCTGGGTATAGTTGTCTGCAAAGGGGGGTTGAATAGAATAACCGGAATTGCCACAGATGTTTCAAATGCACGAATTTATGTAGCAGTTACTTGAGTGGAAAACATACTTTTTCTGTTACTTTCGAAATGCACACAAACTTGGATAGTAGATAACCCAACGCTTCAGATAGTTCATCTGTGCAGCATTCCAATGTAAATGGAGCGTCGCCTCGAGAGATTGTGTGGATTTTGGTGGCACTTAGCATATTGAGAATAATTTGAAATCTCTGCTTAGTGCGTAAGGCCTAACCATGGAAAATACTGGCATGTCGAACGGGGTGTATCTCACTGTGGATCTATTGCCATTAGCCACGTGTCTGCATTCCTCATACACACTGCTGGTGGGTTGGTCCAGGACGCTTCCGCTCATTTTATTGCCCCCAAAGTAAATTGCAATTAACGGGTGACTGCTTTTTGAAGAGAAGGAAATGTAGCCATTCTTACTGACCTCTCATCAACCTGTTGATTGTTCCGCATTTTATGTCTCTATATCTGTTGATGCACACTGTCAATGTAACGTTCCCGATTGTGCCATTTCAAAACAAACAATTTTATGCCTAAAGAGATTGACAATCTCGTTGGATTTTTCTCACTAGAATCCATAAGACCTGCATAGACAACCGATTTGCCTAATATGATATATGCCTTTCAGAAACGTGCTCTCTGGCACTTCTCATATAATGACCACCATTTTATTTAATAGGCAGGGCGAGCTAAATATTTTTCATAACCCCTGAACCATTGACCTCACTCACACCAATATGCAGTAAGCAGGTTGCCAAAAGGTGTTGGACAGTTTACATTTCTCCCTTTAATTCATACCATTGCATTTGGGGGGCATGTCACTTGTGGTTATTGATTACAGACGGGAAGATTTTAACAGTCTAAAGATTTAAGCTCAAAGAATATAAATTATCTCCTTAGAGAATTTTCCCATAGGCGAGACAATTTTGCAGGTATGGTTTTTTAAATCTTCCCTCCTGAAGCGAAGATAGCAAATTGCCTGACTCCAAAAATGTTATAGGAACTACGATGATTAATTTTTCCTGTGACAACCACCAAAAATTATTAGTGCGATCTTAGACTATTCATATGAACAGAAAAATGACTGGAACTGCCTAGATATACCAGAGATGTATCCCCGGCTAGGTACACCTAATCAACTGTTGGAACATTCTCAAACGCAATAATGGGTGAAAAAAATGAAGTTAAAGTATATGGTGAAACAGGTACGATAGCTCAATACTGATAGAGTACACATCAAGTAATAGTTTTTTAATAGTTATATGACAATGAGTCTTAGTGAAAGTAGTGATGTTTGATAGTTCCCATCCTAATTTTGCGAGATAAAAGACCACTTTCTCCTAGTGACTCAACTAATACGAGCTAACGACCTTCACCCTGGTTTACTATGTTGTGCTAGTTTTCCGTCAGACGAGGATAACAAATACTGCTAAATTCGGTTTAAGTGAAACGGAACATTTGATCTGAGATTCAAAAGACTTGCTAAAGACCTCCATTTGCGCAGAAAAACTTTGATCTCCCTAAGCAAGATGGGTGTTATGCGGTACTTACACGATAAAGCAACGATGTTTGACTGCATATTTTCTATTGTTATAGCTAAAAAATATCTTTATTGGATCAGTGATTTCGCCCGCCCGGAGTACAAAATGAGTTCTTAGAAATATTGGGCGTTCTATGGACGTATACTGCACACTTCTTTGTTCCGTTGAATCAACTTGAATGGAAAAGCAAACTAAATGATGGTTAATGACAACTTACTCTTTGGAGCTTGTTATATTGGTTAAAAGGATGAAGTTTGCCCGGACGTGCCTGAGGCTGGCCAGAATTTGTGCAAAGGGTGTTACTATTGGCTCGTCCACGTGACTGAAAATACAAAGTGAACCACGTCTGAGGGCCGTCGTATTTCGACCACATAGACGTTCAAATGATAAGGTCGGATTAGACATGAACTCGTTCATATTCTTCTCGTAGTTTAACATTTCTGACTCCTTGAATCTACCAAGTGCAGACTGGTTAGTAGAAGGCAGTTGACCAAGCTTGTCTGTGGAGCCTTCCTGGTCGGTTGACTGATCATCATCTTCATGTGACTGCTGCCGGAAACAGCCTGTTTTATTGATTGCCTTTGTTGATTTCTTGGACCTTGTGCTGTCATAGGATCCTCGCTTACTGTCCTTACACTTGAGCATATCCTTCCTGCCAATTTGTGTTCTTAGACTTCGAAGTGATAATAACCGAGTGAGTGTACTGTTTTTCCTCACAGTTGACTGCATGTTCATTGAGGTATTGCGGGATGAGACATTTGTAGACACTTTACCGAGTTTCCTAGGACTGCAAGCTCTTGGAATACTTAAACTGAATGACCGAGCCGTCACAGCCTTTATGCCTGTTCCGACCAGTAGTGGAGTCCTGCTTAATCCAAATGCATCATCAAAACCGATACTTTCAGCTTCTGCCAAGCGAGCCGTAGTTTCCACGTCCAACGTAGATCGCCGACCAGTCTCAACATCAATCTGCAGACTGGGTCGTTGAATATTATCTTGTTTAACAGCAAGCTGGTTCGTAGAGGGCATGATCACATCGGGCAAGCTGAGCCTTTGAGTTTGCAGCTGACCCCCGTTTAAGATTGGTTCTTCAGAACCCTTCTTTGAATTATCAGCCTTCTCATTATCAGTGGAAAACACACTTTTTACTTCCTGTTTATCAGTTCGAAGGGGCCGGCGTCTGCAACCACAACAGTTAATTCCCATTATCTATTGTTCTGAATCAGACATGCTGAGTTTTGAAATGTTACGAAAGCATCTGTGCTCCTAGTGTAAACATGTTATTATAAACACAATGGAGGTGCATGATGAATATATCCAATAACGGCACGTCGGGTTAGGCTGGCCAAGATTAAACTCAGTCATTTCCCTCAATTCTAGGGCTTTAGGACAAGAATTTGCTGATCACACTAATGATTGGCTTTCATCAGTTCCGTTGTGTTAGTCCATCAGCTGAAAATCCAGCGTACCTGTCAGTCTATCGATCAATAGACAGCCCGGTTCCTTCCTTGCGTTGGGTGGTGGAGGTCGGTGCCCTTGAGAAGTGGACCAATCGGTGAAAAGCACGACCTGAAAACCTCCCACCTCACATTCGACAGATCCGCGTCGGTCGCTACTATTCACGTGGTTATTTCGAAGGCAATTACAACGGCAGTTAAAAGTTGAGTGGAACGACTATACTATTTGGCAGATTACTACTCACAAAACAGATGGGAAACAAGGCATACTGATCTAATGTGTGGACGTAATCAATTGATTCAGAACAGGTTTTATCATCTGGTATCTAAACAGACTGACGAACAAAATGGAGGTAAAATACTCTTAGATTGTGCATCAAACTTTTCGGTGGCAACTCTGGTTTCTCGCATTCGGCGATAGGATTGTAAAGAAGCGCAAAAATATTTTGTCATGGAATTTAACAGCGATAACGGCAAATGGTTACATGCCCCCTTCGAAGATGCCTCCTTGTTAAAACGCTGTACTTTCGAAAGCAAAAGTAGAAATACGCGAAAAGCTATCCTTTCCACGAGTTCCGTAATATATACTCAGTGTGTTGGGTACTGCATGTCTCACACAATTCCCCAACGAATAAAATTTGTGATTATATGCTTGTTCTATCGCTCTGGAAAAATGAGACAGTCAACAACAAACTGTTCATTCGATTTTGGACTTTACTAATTCGGTAAAAAGGATCGTTGCATTACCCTATTCTTCATAGTAGAAGGTTTCCGGGTGCGTAATTTGAAGTTCCCGTCTTGAATGAACATGTTCAAAAATTAAAGCAGTAGCGCTGAACCCAGTTGCTAAAGATAATCACTTTTGTATCGGTATTCGAATCACTGAAGGGCATTGACTGGCATATCTTCGTGGCTTTCAGTTATCGTTTTGATTTTGAAGCTAACTGTGCAAATTATTGTTACAGGTGTTATACTAGCTTCTGCCCAGGACCACTGCATGGACAAATATTTGATCATCCAAACTAAAAAATCACTCATTTGTTCCTCATTCAGTTATCTGTTCAAAATAAAGATGGAGTTCATCAACAGGCCAATCACTCCTTATGCGCAGTCTTGTCATTCCGTTCTGGATTATTTTTATGGTGACATGTATATTGTAACAGAAACCAGTGAGAGAAACCTTGTGCTGTTTTCCAAGGGCGACATCATTCCGGATGAACACTTTATAAAAATTGTTCCAAGTGTTGGTCAAGTGGGGAAGTGGTACAAGCTCAAAAAGCAGGAATTCAGAGAAGTGCAACTGAGGTCCACAACAAGAATAAGTTGGAAGTTCATCCACACTTTTAATCTAACCTCTAAAGAACGTGTACTTGTGTACCTTGTCTTCTCCTCGACATCGCTTTGTCCATGGGGTATGCTTCACAGCATCAGCAGATAAAGTAGTATTTTAGAAAACAAAACAAAACATGAAATCATTTTTCGCAGAATGGTAGTTACGCCCCTGATTACCCAAATAAAACAAAAGAAAACAGTGATGCGTGTCGATTTATGGCAGATCGCTTCTTCTTTGCTGCACTGTAAAGCAATTTACGAGGGTTTACGGGAAAGTAGATTTTGCAGCAGCGCTTGAAATACTGTTTTCTTTTCCATCCTAGCCGCCAGTCAGACAAAACAATCCATCTAGTGAATCCTGTAATAATTGAATCACGAGCTATTAGCCAACTCACCTCTAGAATCATTGATTTTCCGAAAAACTGCTCGCTTTTTTAGCTACTCAACCAGATAGTCCTTTATCTTTATCGGTAACCCTGTCGCTTTCCCCAAACGGCGATATGAACAACTTGATGAACTAAGTGGATAACTAAGCTAGCTTAAACGATTAAGCTTCCACTCTTCGTTGCGTGTTAGCGGCCATAAAGGCTCATAGCTGCCACTGGTATAGGTGTAATAATAGGTACATAACACCAGACGTAGTTATGGCCGGTCATGCTAGGGTATAAAGTGGACGAATTCCTGCATAGCTGAAGAAATCACGCCAATAACAAGGCAAAATTTTCGAAACGCCACGACTGATCCTATCGGTGACACTGCTACTGTGAATTTGATTTTCAAAATTACCTACTGCCACCAAGTCCATAGTATAATTTCCAAGTGTTGGACAATAAAATATGAATAGTTACACGTCAACTGCTTCCCAGTATCGACCAAGTTTTTTGTGTGGAACTGAAGGTATTGATTGGTTGAAAACAGTGATTCATCAGAAAGTTTTAATATACCGAACGTTTAATAGTCCCTATGGCGTTCACTGTGTATGCCCACCGTCAATCATTCTTGATAATTGGAAACGGCGGCAGTGTGCATCAGCAAGCGTGTGTACCAACAGAGTTACTGAGTTAAAGCTATGTTACTGTGATACTCATGACTCGAGTCAAAACTTGCGCCCACTCTTCAGTAGGAGATATCACCCCAATTTAACAAACGGTGTGTGACATGGTTAAGAAAATTATTGCAATTCCAACCACTCAAAGCAAATTAGGCAATATGGCTTCCAGCAAAGGCATGATCCATCAGTTCCGTTGGATTATAAAGACTTTTTTGTTGTCAAACTATATATGATTCCACCATCTGCTTTTAAACAGCATTTTCCCAAATTTATTTCCATTCATTTAGTACCCGAATACATCGGCCCTGATGTTTTTAACACGAATTAATAAACTGTGTTTCAAGGATTATATCATTCAAGAGAAAACGAAGGAACAAAGCTTTTGTTAATTTCACATAGTTTCTGGCCGAAATGTTTACCAAAAACGCAGGGAATCATCTTTAAAAGTGCTCTGCGAAGTCAATAATAACAGTGACTAAAAGTGAGCTGAAAATATGCAGGTTTGCCGTTGACTTCAGCCTGCACTTCAGCAGCCCTCGTGAAATTTGCCTCAAGAATTTCGGAAATCGGACGCTGGATGCTTCAATAGCTGTATGAAACAAATAATTTTGGCGTAAACCCAAACAAATTAGCTACTTTTGGCTTGCACACCCTAGTGTTAACTAATTCCTTCATCTGGTATGTAGATATTTCAATTTCGGTGACTTAAACAGTCACCAAACGGAACATCACATGGCTCGTACCTGAAAACTAGATTTGAATTTCTGAATTATAAAAAAATTATAACGTCTACAATTTCATACCATGGTTTTCCAAATCCCAACTTGCATCCCCTATAAGACTTTACAAAAAACTGTTCTTTTAGTGACAAAACCAGTGTTGTTTTCAAAATACTTCATTTAAAGGAAGCTAAGTATTGGGGAAAATTCCCCTACCGTAAGTCCGATGGCTTATTTCAAACATGGACTGTGTATTTTTACAATTTTATATTTGATAATACTTTAGCCAAAAGGAAAACATTACCGCCTAAACAGCACTAGGGTATTTAGTGAGCATTACGAAGCTAACGATTATTGTTACAAGATTTCAGTTAAAAAACAACCAGCTTGCTTACTCTACATGAGCTTCTTCACCCGTGATCGATGGATGCCTCGAACTGTAGAGTGAATAATTGTCATCCGATTCCCGGCGATACAGAAATGAACAACGGCGGTCCGGAATGTGATGAAGCACTAAGTTGCTCCAACGGTTCTCGCCACTTTGGACAGATTGGATCTCACTTGACGGGCGGCGGTCTATGTCGAAACTGCGAATAAACATAGGGTTCATAAGGTTCAGGTTTGCTGGTACTCTCAAAAATGGTGTTCAGAATTCTGAAACAGCGCAT